AGCGCGCGCGCGCGCTGCGAAGTGCCGCCGGCGACGCCGAGGCCGCAATGCGCAGGTGGAAACGAACAGATCCAAGACTAAACCTTGCGCCCGGCGGGCCCAAGGCGCGTGCCGAACGGGCCCCGCGCTGCCGCGGCAGGGCGGTCACGGAGGGGAGTCGCGGGAGTGGAGCGGCCCGGGGCGCAAGGGAAGCGGCGAGGGGCGCGGGCGAGGACGCGGGGCGCACAGGGGCGATGCGCGCCCCATCCGCGAGATGTCCGACGCCGCGCGCGCTCCTCCGACCTGACCCCGAGCGGCCCCCAGGTCACCTTGCGGGCAAGACAGCTCTGAAGAGAAACTGTCGCACCAGTTGGGCTGAAGTCTGGATCTCTCCGGGCAGCCCCCGACCGTGGCCTGCTCTGGGGCCTCTTATACCCTCTTCGCGGCCTCTTACGCTGGGGCTCTCGCGGAGCTGTCTCGGAGCCCGTCTTTCGAGGGCCCGCTGGGAAGTGGCGCGCCCCGTGCGTTCCGCGCAGCATATCATAGCGAAACGAGCCTGATCTTTCTCGCCGTCGCCCCAATCTGCATTGCGGGGCGCGATTTCCAAGGCGTCGACGGTTGGAGGCCTGGAAATCGGCACCAACACCAGCACAGGGCGTTCGCCTCCACATGGGGAAGATGGCCTTAGATTTCGGTGTTGGTGGTAATCTGTCGGTCACCTCGAAGCCAGAATGTTACCACCACCACCGAGATCGGGATCGTCCTCCCTCGGTGGAGGCACACCGCCGATCTTGGTGTTGGTGTCAACCTCTAGGCCTGCGCATAGAAGGGGAGACGGGGCACCCCTCTTTTTTTCGCCCTCCTCCTCCTCCTCCTCCTTTTCCTCCTCCTCCTCCTCCTCCTCCTCCTCCTCCTCCTCCTCCTCCTCTCCTCCTCCCCCCCTCCTCCTCCTCCTCCCTCCTCCTCCTCCTCCTCCCTCCTCCTCCTCCCCCTCCTCCTCCTCCCCCCTCCTCCTCCTCCTCCTCCTCCTCCTCCTCCTCCTCCTCCCTCCTCCTCCTCCTCCTCCTCCTCTCCTCCTCCTCCTCCTCCTCCTCCTCCTGGGAGCGTGGGGGGGGGGGGTCCGGGGACGGCCGCCTGCGCGCGCGGAGGGCGCGCCGCACCCTGAGCGGAGGCGGGCCCCCGCGCGAGGGGCGCCCGCGGGGCCCCCTGGCAGAAGCGCGGCGCGGAGGCGCGGGGCCGCGCGGGGCTCCCTCCGACGGTGGGCGGCGGGGCGAGCGGGTTCGGGGGCCACATGCGAACCCCTGCCCCTGCCCCCCGCGATAGGCCTGCGCACAGAAGGGGAGACGGGGCCCCCCTCTTTTTGCGCCCCCTCCTCCTCCTCCTCCCTCCTCCTCCTCCTCCTCCTCCTCCTCCTTCCTCCTCCTCCTCATCCTCCATAGGGGGCCACATGCGAACCCTACCCCTGCCCCCCACGATTTCTGAGGGTGAGGGTGGGGTTCGCCTCGCTCGGGAGCTCCCGCGCGAAGGGAACCCCACCCTTCCCCCTCAGAAATCGTGGGGGGTAGGGGTAGGTTCGCATGTGGCCCCCTACGGGCGGTGCCGCGGAGGCCGGGAAGGAGCAGTCGAGTGGCTGTCCACGTCGTGTGGCTTCCTGTCCCGCAGGCGCACGGTGCGCCAGACTTCCTGGATCTTACCAGCCTCGAGCGTATCCCTGCCCCTGAGATTGACACGCCACAAGGCGACGACAATCTCAGGGATTCGCCTTCAAAAAATAGGGGAATCCCTAAGATTGGCATCGTGATGAGGAGATACCCAGCACAGGGATAGGGATATGTTCCAGGCTGGTAAGGATCGCCTTGACCACGTTCGCCTGTCTCGTTTGAGCAGGTCCAGCTTCTGCCTGAGGCTGCTGCTGGCCTGCTCGACCGGCGCAGCAATGCGTGGAATTGCCGTCCAAACGCATGGTCTCGAGGCTGCGGCGGGGCGTTCTACTGGCCCGCGGCCAAGCGCTCGCCCGCGGGAAAAATAATAATGAGAGAAGCATGTCGGTAACATGACGAACAATGACAACAATTTACGAACAATAGTACTCATAATACTACGGGTAATAACAAGGGTGCAAACCATAATGGCAACAATGATAACAGCAGTCGCAATGACCATACGAATGCAAATAATAAGAATGCTGCAGATAATACTGATTATAGGGATCGGAATGATAATATAAAACAAATGGCAACCACGATAAACATAAGCCAACGTACAATAATAATAACAATAAACACCACACCAACAATCTGCATGGGAAAACGCACGGTGTTCCCCGCACATTTACAAACATTGGAGCAACCCTCCGCGCTACCGGTTCACATCGCCTCTGCGCACCCCATCATCCACAACCCCGAAGGGTCATTCTCCTTCGGCCAACAGGCTGGGCTCGAGATTCACTCCCCATGAAAGGAAAAGTAGAAGACGCTGCAAATGAGGACGGGCAGAAAACACACGGAACATGAAATATAATCGAGAACACCAAGAGGAAATGGTAAGGATAATGCTGAGACGAGGCAACTTGGGAGGGTTGAGGGGCGACACAAGACGGCGGTCAACAATTGCTTTTCGCCACAATACGCCGCGGAATTCCATACCCGCGCTTCGTACCCTCATCCGGGTTTCTCCTCGAAGTGTTCTTGCTGTCTTCTGTTGGTGCCCATTGTGACCCAGGGGTCCTGCGCGCAAAGGGGCGCCGCAAAACCGAAGGTGACTCGCATTGCTGCGATCGAAAAATGTTTGCGGGTGTGTCCCTGGTTGCGCGGTCGGACTTATTGAACTTCCTGCATAGCCAACTTTAATGGACTTGCCATCACATTTGCTGGAGGCTTGTTCGATCGAATATCGTGGTTTTGCTGGCGGTTTGACATTTCTAACACTTGTTGTTTGTGTTGTCATGGCGTTGGTCCGTTGACGTTTCGTGGGTTTGCCACGGCACCCTCTCTCAACGCAAACACAACTACGACAACATGTTAAACGAATGTGCTCGCGGCACTGACGCGAAGGCACGGTGTTGATCACTGCCATCCTCCATCGGTCTGTATAGTTGCGTTGGCCCTGCGTAGCGGTAACATGCTAAGCTAGATCAGCCCTCCATACTTGAAACGTTCAAGAGCTTCACACAACAGTACACGCGAAGCTGAAACGAAAACGCGGCATTGAAAGCGAACCGCCCTCTCCATCCGCGTGGATGCAACAACTTGCTAATTGCTAGCTTCGGAGGCAGCGAACTGGGAAAGACGCCCATTCCGAACCGCCCGACGCGCCCCAGCGACATGTCTGCTGGTTCGACAAGGAGCTGTTCCAGAGTGGTGGGAGCAGGGCAGAGTGGCGAGCGGAAGCCTGAGCAGGAGGTCGCCTCCTCGTCCAGATAGAGTGTCCAAGGAGAACGCGCGCCCCCCCCCCCAATGTCAACAACGCGGGGGGAGGGGGGAAACGGCACCGGGCGAGAGAGACGGAGACAGAGAGATAAAGAGAAAGAGAGAGAGAGAGAGAGAGAGAGAGAGAAAAAGAGACAGAGAAAGAGAGAGACAGAGAGACAGAGACAGGGAGAGAAATGAAGGAATCCATATATATATATGTATATATATATATATGTACATATATATATATATATTTATATATATGTATATAGATACAAACAAGAGAGAGAACAACACAAAAGAGAGAGAGAGAGAGAGAGAGAGAAAAGTCTGGAAGCAGAGAGAGGTAGATAAACCGAACAAACAAAGATAGAGAGACAGAGAGAGAGAGAGAGACAATGATCTGTATATTTACATATACATATACAGAAATGAAAGGAGGGAGATCATAGCGTGAGAGGAAGAGGGAGAGAGAGAGATAACTAAAGAAAGAAATAGAGAGAGAAGAAGAAGAGAGAGAAAGAGGGACATATATATATATATATATCCATATTCACGTTCTGCTCACGCGCCAGAGAGAGCATCTCACCGAGGCTCGAAGACTGTAAATCAAATCACCGCCAGAGGCACAGATCTTGCAGTGGCAGGAGGCTGGTAGCCCAGCCGCTACCCTGGCCCAGCGAGCGTGGACGGGGACCCGAAGTCGTCCCGCCAACGTCCACCAGGCAAGGGCAACGGAGGGGCAACCAACCACCAAGAGCCACAAAAGAGCACCCCCAAGAAGGGTGGCAAGAGGGTGGGGAGCAAAAAAGACGGACTACGGACACAGAATCAACTGAGTTTCAATTCATCTGATGACTGTGCAAACCACGGCGCTCACGCCAAACATAGATGGATTATCCCGCAAGCTAAGGAACATCCATATTCACGTTCTGCTCACGCGCCAGAGAGAGCATCTCACCGAGGCTCGAAGACTGTAAATCAAATCACCGCCAGAGGCACAGATCTTGCAGTGGCAGGAGGCTGGTAGCCCAGCCGCTACCCTGGCCCAGCGAGCGTGGACGGGGACCCGAAGTCGTCCCGCCAACGTCCACCAGGCAAGGGCAACGGAGGGGCAACCAACCACCAAGAGCCACAAAAGAGCACCCACACCCGCACCAGAGTAGCGTTCTGGCCGAAGGCTTATAAGGCAGAGCCTCCGGCACTGATGAGGTGAGATATCATCGGTGAAGCAATGGCCCGAGTAAGCTGGCGAGGATAAGGCTGAGCGCGGAGGGTCCAGAAGGTTCCTGTCGGGTCTTTGCCCCTAAGCTCGACGTGGGGCTTTCCAATCCTGGAACGCACGCCGCGGCCAGTGCACGTTTTTCCCACGGCCGAAAGGTGAGAGCAAGACAGGAGGAGCAGGCGAGTGGGCTTAACCCAACGCTCCCCATACTGACAGAAGTGAAGCACCGTGAATGTAGTGTCATGAGATAATCGAAAATCTAGCATTTGAGGCATGTCCCATAAACAACTCGTGTTCGGGTTTTCCAGCACAGCTGGGACGCCGTGAGCTGCTGCACATCGCATTAGCACCAGTGAGACCCCTAAGAGACGGTTCCCGTTCTCGACCTTAGCGAGGCCGGCGGGAGAAAGCCCAGGTTGGCCCTCCAGGTGCCAGGGATCCCGAAGAGGCCCAGGGCCGCGACCGTCGTTTTTTCGGGCCCGAGAAAAAGAAGTGCACGGCGTGCCTAACCAGAGGAAAAGACACCTACCCGAGGCGATGTGCGACAGCACACAGCGCAGCACGTCGTTGTCCAGCAGGTCGCCAGCGGGGCCGTGCTCGATGTCCCAGGTCAGCGCTGGGATGCCAAGCTCCGCGAAGGATTTGGCCAGCCGCCCGCTGCCCGAGAAGACCTCGATCACAAACCCGCCGCCGAGAGACCGCGGCAGGCTCCTGGCGGCCGAAGGGACGGCTGCCACGCGCCGCGAAGGACGAGCGAGAGGTTGGCCTCCGCCTCCTGGCACCGGCGGCTGGCCTCGGGCGTCAGAGCCTTGTGAAGCCTCTGCACCCTGCCCGCCTTCATGTAACGGAGCAAGGTGCGATCGTTCGCCCAGCGTCCTCGCTGCTTGACCGCCTGAATCTCCCTCGTCTTCATCAGGAAATCCCTCGACGCCCCTCCGTGGCGCAGCCGGTACATTTCGAGGTTCAGCGAGCCCAGGCCCGCCGCACGACAAGCCGCCTGAAAGCGGCGCAGCAGCTGTGTCTGGCTGAAACTGAAGAGCCAGACCTCCGCATCCCCTCCGCGCAAGCCAGCAAGGAGGGCCCCTAAGCCGGGGAAGTCGGGGCTGTCGAGCGGGAGCGTGTCGTCGAACTGGCCGACCTTGGTCGGCTCCTCCCTCTCGAACGGCCGCAGGAGCAGACTCCAGCACGCGAGGGCCACGCCCGCGTTGGCCACCGGCTCGAGGAGGTCGCCTTCGACCACCGTCAGGAGCTCGGACGGGCGCAGGTAGCAGCAGAACATGAGGGCCAGCGCCAGCACCTCCTCGTGGAAGCCGTGGAGCGACAGGACACCCAAGATGCCCGCCAAGAGGCGGAACGGTAGAGGGTCCCTGCTGCCCACGGGCCCCTTCCGATGCCAAGCTCGAAGAACTCGTCGAAACCGAGGAAGGCTGGGCTTGCCGAACCGCTGCACGTCGTGGTCCTCCAGGGCGGCCAGGAGCTTGGTCCCCGCGTCGACCTGTTCGCCGTCCAGGAACTGCAGGTCGGCAAAGTCGCACAGCGCGTCGTCGCAAACTTTCAGGTTGGCCAAGGAGAGACCTTGGCTTCGCCCGAACTCCCAGAACTTGTCGAGCCGCCGACAGTAGTCCCTCCTGACGGGAGTCGACGGGTGAGAGCTCTCCAGCACTGCGCGCTCGCCCTTCAGAGCCCTCAGGGCTGGAACCACGCCCCCTATGGCACGAACCCGCTTCAACGCCCTCTGACGCTCGAGCACCAGGCGTCGAGCCGACCGACGTGTCTTCTCGGCCAGCACCGTGTCCAGCGGGTCCGCCTCTCGGCGAGGTCGAGGGAGCGGCGCGCCAGCCACTGGGCGGCGCCGAGGGCGCGGCCCAGTCAAGGCAGTCGGGCCCGCCGAAGGCACCAGGCGGCTCATGATGACCACGCCCGCCGTCGGCGAAGGCACTGTCGCCTGGATCGACGGCCCGCCAGCTCCCCTTGCCATCAGCCTGTACCGTCCAGGCCCGAGACGTGGAGCGACGAAGCAACCGTCGGCCATCACTGTCAACTGGAAGCTCGAAGTAGCGTGAATCAGGATCACTCGGGTTCAGCTCCGACGGCACCCACCTGAAATGGTGCCTGGTGTTGGAGGCCACGCTCAGAGCCAAAAGGCGACGGCAAGCACCCAGAAGACCTCGATGTTTAGCCCGACCCTTCTCGAAAGCCAGGATGGCGGTCATGGAGTCCCCAAGGTGTAGATGAGTCTTACCGAAACTGGAGACCGCCCGTAACTTGTGACGCACCGCCAGCAGACCCGCGCGAGCCTCCAGACAGAATATCGGCTCCTCGTCCTTCCAAAAACTCCGAACGACCTTGGTCCACGTGGGGCCCACGAGGTTCTCTTTCGGGGCCTCTCTGAACGACTTGTCCAGCGACCAGAGGGACGACCTGTCACGACAAGGCTTGACGCTTTCGATGTCCCCCCAGTCCAGCGATAAGAAGTTGTTGTCCCTGGGCGCAACTCGATCGTATACATCCCACTTGAAACGCCATCTCTCCTCCCATTCGCATTCTGAACGAACCTGGGCCGAGTCCCAAGGCGCCGTGGCGACCCCTGCCCCACACGTACTAGCGTCGAAACAGCTCACGAGCGGGTCGAAGTCCCTTCCCAGATCGGCGAACGCGAACGAGATAAGACACCCAGCGGCCCAGCACTCCCTAGCCACCGAGGGCCAGAGACGCACTCGAGAGGTGTAACTCGAACGAATGAAGTCATAGGCGTTGTTAAAGATGGACAAGAAGAGCCGATTAGGACCGAAGTGGAAGGTGGCATGGCCCAGGAGTCTCTCAATCTCCTTACCTGACACATACGGAGCACCTGCCAACCAATCCAAAACTGCCTTCAACTTCCACCTCTTTTGCCTTTTTCCTTGGACCGTGCTATACAGGAAGTCGATCTCAAGGCCGAGCGTAAGAGCCCACTTGCTGGCAGACGTGCGCTCGTGAACCCTAAAGCCCACACTCTCGACCCCGTCGAAAACCTGGTTGGCGATCCTATCGGTCTGTGACTTACCTTGGCCGAAGATGCGAATGTTGTCTATGTAGACGTTGTGAGCGGGCCGATCGAGACCAGGAGGAGGCTTGCATGATTCCAGGAAGCTGTCACCCTCGGAGCCCGAGAAACGATGCACCAGGGACGTTGTAGCAGACTGCGCAAAGTAACAGGCCCAAGACCACCCCATGGGAACGACCCTGGACTGTGGAAAGATGCTGTCACCTGGGAGAAAAGGGAGACCTTCGACATTGTGAATACCAGCCTGAAGAAGTCGCAGACCTGACACGGGCGGCAAGGAAAAATATGGACTAAGGCCTGGTGGAAGCCCGCAACAATGAAAATAATCCTTCACGTCGCCGAGGGCCACGTACGGGTCCCCGTCGCCGCGCGAGTGCAGTAGCCGAGCAACATCAGCCGGCCCTCCCAGCCGAACGTAGGGGCTCTCACGCATCCTGCGATTACTCGGACGGCAGTCAAGTATCAATCTCAAAGTGCCAGCCTTCTTCCTCGCAAAGAAGGGGGTGACGATGACATGGGACGTGCGGCCGAAGCGAAACAAACCCGACCTGTGACCCCTCATCACGAAGTCGAAGTAAGCGTCAGCGTCGGACTTAAGCACTGGATCCATATACGGTCTAACATGCTCCTCACACTCAGTAATATGGCCCCAATCGTCGGGACCGTGCAAGATCTCCTCTTCGAAGTTAACGAGACATTCTCTGGCCCTGCCCTCCAGCACCGTGGACAGGTCGACGGGCTCCGCCCCAAGCTGGGGCATGGAGAGCAGATCCTTGTCGTAACTCGCGATGGGAAGTTCAGGGCCACCAGCGTAATCCTGACCTGCGCCGAGCAACTCCACGCGGGCTGCCTCGGCATTAACGATCTCCGGGACGTCAGTCCGATGCGCGTCCAGAAGGTGCTGAAGAGCCGTAGCCTGCGACAGGGTCGGACTCGAAAAACTTGGAGGCTGGCGCCCACCATGCAACCAATTAAGCGCCTTGACGGAGTCGACGGCGCGACTCAGAACTGCCTTCCTGCGGTCGAAGCGCTGCTGCAGCCTCCTGCAGCGATGCCTCGGCCAGGACGGCGAAGACCATGAAGGCGGCATAGGAAGAGGTAGAAGCTCACGAGGAGCAGCACGGTTGTCGGACATCGTCGAGGATTGACGACCGACAAAAGCACCCGCGGGGGTGCCCAAGGGGTCGAGCTCGACCCCCTAGTTCTTGGTGCCCTTGTCCTTGTCCTTCGAGGGCTGACCTTTGCCCCCGAGCCTGGACTCATCGACTGCCTTCCTCTTCTCCTTCAAGATCGCTGCCTTATCCTTCAGCCTGTTAGCGGTGTAGCTCATGAGTGACTCAGGAGTGCTCCCCGTGCCCCTCGTCTCAGCCCAGCCCATCATGATGTCGGCTGCGCTGTAGTCCGGGTTGCTGGGAGACGAGGCGTGCGCCTCCTCCAGCACGCTCTTGCGCCTCACCAAGAGCTCGGCCCCTACCAGGTTCGGCAGGTTACACTGATCGATGCACTGCAACGCATTCAGGACCTCGCAGATCAGCTTGTACTCGTGCACCGACCTGTCCCCAGGAAGAATGCGAGCCGCGACGGGCCACTCACGAGCCTGGGTCTGCCAGGTCAGCCCCTGAGACCTCAAAGTCTGTGCGGTGCCCAACGTGATGCGAGGACCCTTCGGGAAGCCATCGAGGTCAGGCTCCTCGAACAACTCCAACACTCCGTCGTTGAAGGTACGACTGCGAACACCATGCTCGAAACGGGGCTTCATAATGCGACAATCACTCACCTCCGACGCGTAGAGATCAATCTTGTCATCCCTGAAGCTGCCAACCTTCTGCGTCGGCACCCACTCCACGAAGACGGCCACGGTGTTGCCCGACGGCAGCGTGCAGGTCGACACCGCCTTCACGCTCGCGAACGGGCCCGTGGGAGCAACAGGCGCCTCATCCCCGATCTTCATGTTGCCGCACGGCTCCGCCAGGAGCCACTTCCCCGCGCCTGGGACACCGATCGCACCCGCCTGGACCTGCGGCGTCGCGACAGCCTGGCCCCAGCCCAACAGCTGAGTTTGCACCTCTGCGTTGCCGAGCGCTGCCTGCAGGACCGCCTGAGTCGGGGCAGCCCGAAAGGCGTACACCGGCAGGTGGGGCGGCGCTGGCGGGCGACCTGCATCATCCAGGAAGGTGACCCCCACGATGTCGGGATCGTTACGGTAGTCCTCCTCGTACTCGTCCTGATCAGGCGTCGCAATCCAGGCTGAGCCGCCGTTGGGGTGTGCCTTAATCACCAAACGTTCGTGTAAGAACGCCTCCCCCTCGAACTCGACCAGCAGGCGTCGCCAACTGCACAACCCCGCACTTGTCGGCTGTGGCCACCCGTCCAGGCGCATCTGCAACTGGGGCACCGCAGGAGGAGCTGGCCCCTGTCCTGGCGGGGGCGCCGCGGGCGGCCCCATCAGAGGAGGCAGTCCTCCGACGTGCGCCATCGCAGCACCAAGCACAGACGGCCACCGAGGTACAGCAGGCGCTCTGTAGAACGCAGAAGAGGTTGATCCACGAGAAGGGCTCGGATGGGAGACGGCTGTGGAAATGGTTCTCGATGTACGTCTGATTGACAGATCCGTTTCCCGCGAGGCGCGAGAGGGAGTCACACGTGCAGTTACAAACACCAGTGTTATTAACCTCCACATCCACATGAACGGGCTGCATCGCTTGCAGCCAGGTCTGCTTCTCTGATCCCAACATGAACCCCCACAACGTAGCGACAGCCACATGGAAAGATTTTGGGAGGCCCATAGACCGACAAGACAACAGCTTGAGCAAAAAAGACGGACCACGGACACATAATCAACTGAGTTTCAATTCGTCTGATGACTGTGCAAACCACGGCGCTCACGCCGAACATAGATGGATTATCCCGCAAGCTAAGGAACATATATATATATACACATATATATAAAATTGCATTATTGGATCCCCTTCTGAGGCTCGATTCCTTGAATTCCATTTAAATGTCCAGGAAATGTCTGGGAGCGCTTTTTGAGCAGCCCTTGTTGAAAGCCTTAAAATGGATTTGTAAACCCTTTATCAAATGTCAGCATGATGGCCTGTCGGGAACCCCGATCGATGCCGAAGCGTAGCATTGTTTTGCCGCGGGTCGGCCCAGAGCGCTCAAACGTATCGTAAAGCTTCGAGGCGTAGGGCTTAGGGCATCGGGCTTAGAGCAGAGAGCATACGGCATCGGGCTTCGGGCTTCGGGCTTAAGGCTGAGGGCTTCGGCCTCATGGCTTAGGTCTAGGGTTAGGGCTGAGGGCTTAGGGCTGAGGGCTTATGGGTTTGGGCTTAAGGCTTAAGGGCTTAGGGCGTAGGGCTTGAGGCATCGGGCATGGGGCTTTAAGCTTAGGGCTCATGGCTTGGGTGGCCCGCGTTGGATCGTTTACGGGGAAGGTCGGTTTTCGGGGAGAGGGCGGGGAAAGGGCGGCGGCGGGGGAGGACGAGATAAGCGAGCAGGAAGTCGGTGGCAGAAGCGGGGGATCATAATAAGGGTAACGCTGCGGAGACGGTGGGCCAGGAGGGAGAAACGGGACGGGGTTCGAAAAGCGCCCCGATACACTTTCTGTTAGGTGGGTTCTGAGGTCTCGGGGCTTACAGGTGGGGTGATGCCTCCCCCATTCAACTCCCCTTACTTGTCTTCCTGCGTTCCTCGTTCCTTCTCCCCTCAGCTTTCGCTCCCCCGCCCCCCGTTCCCCTCTTCGCGTTTCCATATTCGCATTTCCATTACCAAGCTCCGCCTTACCCTTGCCCTCCCCCCGTGCCGTCTCCCGCCTCCATTCCCAGCTTCCTTCGCGCGGGAGTCGCGCGCCCGCGCGCCGCCCCCCGCTCATATTTGGACCCCATCTACATCGCGCAGGCCCGCGCGCGCGCGCTCGCGCGTGCGCGCGCGAGCTTGCGTGCCCTCCTCCACCACGTCCTGCGGGGGGGGGGCACGGGTCCAACTCGGCGAAACCTCGGCCGACCAACCCAGCGCACGGGGTGCCCGCGAGGTGCCCGCCAGGCGGCGTAGCTCCAAACAAAATCCCAGTAAGAGCTCGCACATATAGTATGTGTTGGGGGCATTTTGGGCAGGGGCGCTTGTATGTCATCAACCATGGGCTCCGCTCAAGACTTCCTCACCACGCGAACGATTTGACAGAGTCGGCTGCAGCAATATCCCCCTCGGCGCCCTCTGAATCTGCCAATTGTCATTGTCATGAAGCCCCCCTCAAATCCCCCAGGACACTTAGCAGCACCTTCAAGGTGTTTGCATTGCTCTCATGGGGGATGGGGTCGCATTTGGTTCGGGGCAACGCGTTCATTGTTTCGGGTGCTATCGCGCACGTGCGCGCGAAGCTGCGCGACCGCTATTGCGCGTCGGGGTGGGCGCCATAATGCGTGAATAATGTGGCGCAATCTGTGTGGTGTACGCTGTGGTGTGGCTGCTATTGCGCGTGCGCGACGTGCAGTGGTATTGATTGTTTGCAACGCGTTGCGTTAACTATCTGGTGTGGGCTATGTGGTAGCAGGAGCGTCGCATGTGTAGTCATGGGGCAGAAATAAGAGCCTCCTTCGAGGCCGCAATGCTTGAATTGCGGGGCCATGTTGAAGCCATGTTGAGGTCATCAAGGCAGGGCCTCAATATCGCACCGAAATTCTTCCTATATGTTGATTGGGCGATGGGGCCATGGTGAGGCAATGCTGAGGCCCTCAGGTCAGGCCCTTAGGTCGGGTGTGGATGTCTCTGGCGAGCGTCGCGTCTTTTTTTCGGTAGTCTTGAGGGCGCTTTTGGTGTCATCATGAGGCCCGTGTCTCGGGGGCCGAGGGCCGACGAGGTCATATAGTTGCTGTTTGGGGCCCACGCTGGCGAACATGGCTGCGCCCGATTCGCATGTCGGTTATGGCATGGGCGCGTGCGTTTCCCCAAGTGCAGTGCTTACACTCTGCTTCCGCTATGCGCGGTGTTGTTCATCGCAGTTCTTTCCGCCTTGCTCTCGCCTCGACACGCCCTGGCCCTTGCCTCCCACCGCCTTGCCCGTGCCTCGCCTCGTCAGCCAGTTTGGCTAGAAGCGCAGCGCGCTGGGCGCGCCGTGCGCTGGGCGCGGCCACGCTTGCGAATACAGAACGCTTCGCGCATCCCCGCCAGCCCATTCAAAAGTAGCGCCCGTGAGCTGACGGTGTGTGGGGAGGGGGGGACAATGCAAACGTGTATATAATATATATCTATGTATATGTATGTATAGCTGTTTTCGGCCCACCCTGTCACCGTGTTTGGGTTGTGGGTGAGAGGCCTCTTGGACGTTGGTCGGGGTACCATGGTAGGCGTCTCGGGTGGCATCCAGGGACAGTTTTGAAGCCGCTTGCTCGCGGGGGCGGCGGTCGGGGGGGGGTGCGCCCCCCCTCCCCCCCGAGGGAAGATTGGATTGGGGGAATAGGGAAGAGTTCGATAAGCCCTTTACGCCCATAGGGATGGCTGGAGTTCACACTCTTGCTATTTAGCAGCATGCGATGCCCGCCAAACGCCCCAGACTGGATGCAGATATCGCCGACAGCACTGCGCTCATTCTGTCCCACGCCGAGGTCGTTGCAGCGCTGCCCAGCAAGAGGCTTTATTGGGAGAGCCCGCTGACGGCCAGAATTCAATCTATACTGAGTGCTGCCCGTCGCCATAACCTCGAGCCTTCAGAAGTTGCCAGAGGATTATTGATTGAGGGCCTCGGCGGCGCTGTGCGCGCCAGCCTTGCATCGCAGGCCGCGTCCCTGAACACCTCCGAGTGGGCCTTCAAGAGCAGGATGGGGAGAGCGGCTGCTTGGGCGTGGCTCCTGGACCGTTGGCATAGACACCATATCGTCAAAATGATTGCATTTCGCGCTCGCTCGCGCGGTGCGCACATCGAGCTGATCCAAGCGTGTGACCACGTATCGTATGACGAGACGCCCTTGGGGCTCCAGAGTATGAGCGAGCATCGCGAGGTATCGCGAGGCGCCCCTTCTGCACTTCCCCCCGCCGCGGGTTCCGAAGTCGCGACTATGACATCTCGGGCCCTAGCTGTGGCGTTGCTGAGGGGGGCGTTCCGCGGATTCAGGGCTAAGACGATCACGAAGCTCTTCGCCACCAAGGCTCGGTATTGCCACCTCGTCAGGCTCACGATGAATGGACAGATGCGCTACGTCTACATCGTCGGCGACGTGGTATGCCAGGTTCAGCCGTTGGCGAGCACTTCGGCTGCATGCCAGGCACTTGCATTGATGGAGTCTGGGTCGGCTTCGCTGTCGGAGAGCACGTTCAGCCACAAAGTGAGGATCACGGACGCGGACGGCCACAGGTCGAACAGAGCTGGAGAACGCATATTGGACCGCAAGCGTGAGCCTGGATGGGTTCGTCTTTTCTACCAGTGCCAAGCTCACTCTATAGTGCGGGCACACAACATTGCCATGAAGCACGTCGACGTTGGCATCAAGGGGGTGATCCACCTATCGCTGTGCTTCAGAGTAGCGGGGAGCAAGCATTCCTTTAACACTCATCTTTGGAAGGAGGTCCACCGCCGACTCAGGGTCCGAGAAGGCAGCCCATCAAATGACGACGTTATCTACAACCATGTCGTGCTCAAGTCGTTCGTTTCTGGAGACGGCCAGAAGACCCGCAGGCGCGTGTTATTCACTCTCTTGCCCAGCAGCTCCATGGCCGACACGCGCGAGATCACCATATGGGTTGATTCTGCAGCTGGCCTGGACGAAGACGTTTTGAAAACATCGGTTGCAGATTCAATGGTAGACGCATTGATGCCGCGTGCCCTGAGAGTGCTGATCAGGAGCAAGTGGGGCACCAGTGAGTCGGCGATCTGCGACGCGGGCCTCATCGAGATGTGTCATGGGCTTTTGGGCCCAGCATTCACGTCATGGTGCAGGTCGTTCGGAAGGGGGCGGTCGAAGCAGCATGCGTTGGCGGCCCTGGTTGACGGTCGCGTGGACGACGTTGGCGCCGACGAGTGCGAGGACGACGATATGGGCGCCCACGAGGGCGCGGGTGGCGATGCGGAGGCCGCTGGCGCTGGCAGCCGCCGAGAGAGGCTCAACAAGCATATGGCGTTCGCGATGGATTTCATGTCTAATAAACGCCCAGTCCCCCACACATTCTTCGTTCTCGCCAGCAACATCTTGAGGCCCTTGCAGGCGATGCTGCGGAAACATTGTTATTTGACGTCGAAGGAGTTCGAGAAAAAGGAACGAGTACATGCTGCCAAGCGCACCGCAGAGGGGACAGTCGGCATTAACAGATCGTTCCCTGTCACGGTTCTTGCCGACGGCGTCTTGGAGACCAGGTGCTTCGAGAAGATGATGCTGCTACTGTTCACCC